CTACTTTTAAATTAAAAAACCAAATACCAACTAATACAGTACTGATATTACTACTGTTTTAAAAACCTAATACCACTAATAACAAAGTAACGTGATATTACTACTGTTTACCCTAATACCACTATACGTACTGATTTTACACTGTTTTCACCTAATAACCACTAATACGTACTGATCTTACTACGGTTTTAACCCTAATACAGTAACTGATATTAACTACGTTTTACCCTAAACCATCTAATACAGTCCTGGATATTACTACTGTTTTACCTAAAACCACTATCAGTACTGAGTTACTATATTTTAACCCCTAATTGTCTGATATTACTACTGTTTTAAACCCTATACCACTAATACAGTCTGATATTACTAACTGTTTTTAAAACCAAATAACACTAATACATTACGAATTCCTACTGTTTTAAATTTACCTAATAACACTAATACAGTACTGATATTACTACTGTTTTACCCTAATACAGTAATGCCATTCCTACTGGTTTTAACCAAAATCCCACTAATACAGTACTTGGATCTTACTCTACTACTGTTTAAACCTAATATACCACTAATACATAAACTGAGTACTCCTGTTTTAACCTATAACCACTAATACAGTACTGTTATTATCACAGTTTTAAACAAATAGTAGCTTAGTGGTTAGAGCGTTGTCCCAGTAACCGAAAGGTTCGCTGGTTCTAATCCCCAGCCCGACCAGGTGAAAAATGTCATTCTCCACAGTTTGCTGGTGGACCAAAATCTTTTAGGCCTGGGTTTAGTAATACTATCATCATTATAGTTTACCACCTGGAACTCCTGTTAGTAATACTTCATCAATTAGTTTACCTGGGAACTCCTGTTGTAATACTTATCATCAATCATTAGTGTTACCTGGGACTCCTGTTTAGTAATACTATCATCATGATTAGTTTACCTGGATCCTGTTGTAATAACTATTCATCATCATTAGTTTACCTGGGAACTCCTGTTAGTAATACTATCATATCATGATAGTTTTACCGGGAACTCCTGTAGTATACTAGCATCATATTATTTAACCTGGGAACTCCTGTTTTTAATACTATCATCATCATTAGTACCTGGGAACTCCTGTTTAGGATAAACTATCATCATCATTAGTTTAACCTGGGACCCTCCATGTTAGTAATACTATCATAATCATAGTTTCTGGGAACTCCTGTTAGTATACTATCATCATCATAGTTTACCTGGACCCTGTTAGTAATCTACATCATCATTAGTTTTTACCTTGACTCTGTTAGTAATACATCTCATCATTAGTTTACCTGGAACCCCCTGTTAGAATACCTATCACATCATTAGTTACCCTGGGAACGCCTGTTAGTATACTATCATCATCAGTAGTTTACCTGGAATTCCTGTTCGTAAATACTATCACCATCATCCATTTAGTTTTACCTGGGAACTCCTGTTAGTAATACTTCATCATCATTAGTTTTTACCTGGGAACTCCTGTTTAGTAATACTATCATCATGATTAGTTTTACCTGGGAACTCCTGTTATTAATACTATCATCATGATTAGTTTTACCTGGGCAACTCCTTTTAGTAATACTATCATACATTAGTTTACCTGGGAACTCCTGTGTAATACTATCATCATCAATTAGTTTACCTGGGAACTCCTGTTCGTAATACTATCATCATCATTAGTTTACCTTGTAACCCTCCTGTTAGTACTACTATCATCATCATTAGTTTACTACCTGGGAACTCCGGTAGTAAATACTATCATCATGATTAGTTTACCTGGGAACTCCTGTTATACTACTATCAGCCATCATTAGTTTACCTGGGAACCCTGTTATAAGACTATACTCATCATTATTTACCACCTGGGCCCCTCCTGTTAGTAATACTAATCATCATCATTAGTTTACCTGGGAACTCATGTTTATTAATACTAATCATCATCATTAGTTTACCTGGGAACTCCTGTGAGTTATACTATCATCATCATTAGTTTTACCTGGGAACATCCTGTTTCAGTAATACTATCATCATTATTAGTTTACATGGGAACTCCTGTTTAGTAATAACTTATCATCATCATTAGTTTACCTGGGAACCCTGTTAGTAATACTATCATCATCATTCGTTTACCTGGGGACCTCCTGTTAGTAATACTATCATCATCATTAGTGTGTGCGCGGCGGGTGGGTGTCTCGCCTACCCGGTGTAATACTATCATCATCATTATTTACCTGGGAACTTCCTGTTAGTAATACTTATCATCATCATGAGTTTACCTGGGACCCTCTGTTAGTACCTATCATCATCATTAGTTTACCTGGGCTCCTGTAGTAATACATCATCATCATTAGTTTTACCTGGGGACCTCTGTTTAGTATACTTCATCATCATTAGTTATCCTGGAACTCCTGTTATAATATATCATCATCATTAGTTTACCTGGGAACTCCTTTTAGTATTACTATCATCATCATTAGTGATTACCTGGACGCCTCCCCTGTTAGTACACTATCATCATCATTGGTTTACCTGGGAACTTCCTGTTAGTAATACTATCATCATCATTAGTTTACCTGGAACTCCGTTAGTAATACTATCATCATGATTAGTTTACCCTGGGAACTCCTTTAGTAAATACTATCATCATCATTAGTTTACCTGGAACTCCTGTTAGTAATACTTCATCAGATTTAGCTTTATACCTGGGACCTCCTGTTAGTAATACTATCTCATCATTAGTTTACCTGGGAACTTCTCCTGGTAGTACTACTAATCTCACATTAGTTTTACTGGGAACTCCTGTTAGTAATACTCATCATCATCATTAGTTACCAACCTGGGAGACTCCTGTTAGTAATACTAGCATGCATCATTAGTTTACCTGGGAACTCCTTGGTAGTATACTATCATCATCATTAGTTTCCCTGGGAACTCCTGTTAGTAATACTATATCATCATTAGTTTACCTTGGAACTCCTGTTTGACCGGCGGACGACTCTGCTGATAACACAAGAAGGCAGACTGGGGAGGAAGAGGGAGGAGGGTTTGAGAGAAGCAGTCTATGTTAATGAGGGAGGAGGGAAGCAGTCATATTGTGATTAGGAGGAGGGTAAGCAAGGTCAATGTGTAGGGAGGAGGGTTAGAGGGACAGGTCATATGTGGGATGAGGGAGGAGGGAAGCAGTCATAATGTTGAATGAGGAGACGGGAAGCAGGTCATATGTGATGAGGGAGGAGTGTTTAGAGAGAAGCAGGTCATATGTGATGGGAGTCGGGTTTAGAGGGAAGCAGGTCATATGTGATGAGGGAGGAGGGGAAGCAGGTCATATGTGATGAGGGAGGAGGGAAGCAGGTCATATGTGATGAGGGAGGAGGGTTAGAGGGAAGCAGGTCATATGTGATGAGGGAGGAGGGAAGCAGGTCATATGTGATGAGGGAAGCAGGTCATATTTGATGAGGGAGGAGGGTTAGAGGGAAGCAGGTCATATGTGATGAGGGAGAAGGGAAGCAGGTCATAATGTGTTAGGGAGGAGGGAAGGCAGGGTCATTGTGATGAGGGAGAATGGTTAGAGGGAAGCAGGTCATATGTGATGAGGGAGGAGGGAAGCAGGTCATATGTGATGAGGGAGGAGGGAAGCAGGTCATATGTGATGAGGGAGGAGGGTTAGAGGGAAGCAGGTCATTTTATGAGGGAGGAGGGAAGCCGGTTCATATTGAATGATGGAGGAGGGAAGCAGGTCATATGTGATGAGGGAGGAGGGAAGCAGGTCATATGTGATGAGGGAGGAGGGTTAGAGGGAAGCAGGTCATATGTGATGAGGGAGGAGGGAAGCAGGTCATATGTGATGGAGGGAGGAGGGAAGCAGGTCATATGTGATGAGGGAGGAGGGTTAGAGGGAAGCAGGTCATAATGTGAATGAGGAGGGGGAACAGTTTCCATATGTGATTGAGGGAGGAGGGTTAGAGGGAAGCAGGTCATATGTGATGAGGGAGAGGGAATCAGGTCATTGTGATGGAGGGAGGAGGGAAGCAGGTCATATGTGATGAGGGAGTGAGGGTTAGAGGGAGCAGGTCAATATGTGAGGAGGCGGAGGGTTAGAGGGAACAGGTCATATGTGGATGGAGGGGGGAGGGGGGAAGGAGGTCATATGTGATGAGGGAGGAGGGAAGCAGGTCATATGTGATGGGGGAGGAGGGTTAGAGGGAAGCAGGTCATATGTGAGAGGGAAGGAGGAAAGCCGCATATTGTGAGAAGGGAGTAGTTAGAGGGAAGGCATTCCCATATGTGATGAGGGAGGAGGGAAGCAGGTCATATGTGATGAGGGAGGAGGGAAGCAGGTCATATGTGATGAGGGAGGAGGGAAGCAGGTCATATGTGATGAGGGAGGAGGGAAGCAGGTCATATGTGATGAGGGAGGAGGGTTAGAGGAAGCAGGTCTATGTGATGGGGAGGAGGGTTTAAGTGAAGCAGGTCATGGTTGGTGCTTGCCTACGGACTGTGAGGGGTAACGGCACCGCCTCCTTACCTTCAGGCTCTGCTCAGACCCTACACCAAAACGAGGCCGACGTTTCATCCACCTCTGGCCTGCTAGCCCCCCTACCTCTACGGAAGCACAGTTCCCGCTCAGCCCAGTCAAAACTGTTCGCTGCTCTGGCACCCCAATGGTGGAACAAGCTCCCTCACGACGCCAGGACAGCGGAGTCACTGACCACCTTCCGGAGACACTTGAAACCCTACCTCTTTAAGGAATACCTGGAATAGTATAAAAGTAATCATTCTACCCCTCCCCTCCCATAAAAAAAAAGATGAAAAAAAAGAGGTTGTCCCACTGGCTATCATAAGTTGAATGCACCAACTTGTAAGTCGCTCTGGATAAGAGCGTCTGCTAAATGATGTAAATGGAATGGAGGGAGGAGGGTTAGAGTGAAGCAGGTCATATGTGATGGATGTACAGTAGTGTGTATACTGTAATGTGTGACTCACGGGGGTCGTTTGGGAGCGTTGGGGTCCTTCTTTTTCCTACCGCTCTTGGCCATCCCCTTGGGGGGGACGTACCCCCTCATGTCCCTCTCATAACGCACCTTGTCATTCTTCGCCATGTCCTCAAAACGACGCTTGTCAGTCGCAGTGGAAGCCTACACACAAACTCAGTTATAACTTCCTTATTACCCACAGTTATTATAACACTGATACACAGGGGGCCAGTATGAAAAAAAAAGAATGCATGTATGCACTCACTAACTGTAAGTCGCTCTGGATAAGAGCGTCTGCTAAATGACTAAAATGAAAAATATACAACGGACACATAGTGGAATAACACCTTGTGATGTGTGTATAAATGTGTGGCGTGTGTATTAATATTCACCCTCCATCTCTCGGAACACTGCTTGGAGAACTCTGAGAAGTTGACCGACTGCTCGGGCTGTTTCCTCTTCTGTTCCTCCCGGCAGGTCTGGACGAAGAAGGCGTAGGCTGACGTCTTGCCCTTGGGTTTATTAATGTCCCCTTTCACCATGGTCACACGATTGACTGATACACGGGACAAAATAGACATTTATTAAACTAGCTTTTTTTTTGCAAGAGCATCTAGGTAAAGTGGCTAACTAACTAGGCCCCACGTCGGATAAAATGTCGTTGAAATAATTGCAGACCCGTGTGCAGCTTAGACTGTATAGGGTTTGCATTAAGGTTAGCCTAGTTAGCTGCCACCTAGCATGCTAGCTCGTTGAGAACAATGGGCCCACCATTTGCTTCCCGCCTAACGCGCTGCTAACTCATCCCATCACGCAGCGCTAGCATTTATGCTAAAGATGCTAACGCTGCTAGCCTTAACAAAACATTAGCTAGTGTGAAAACTATGAGTAATCAAATTAGTAATCCTAAAGCAAGTTTATTTTATTTTAACTACATTTAAAATGTAGATTTAGCTAGGTAACGTTTCAGTAACAAGCTATGTAGCTACTGTACAGTAACAGTTAACGTTACAGTAACTTAGCAGAAAAATACTAGAAAAACATGCAAGGGGAAACTAACGTTTTCTACAATTATTCAGGTACATTTTTCATTAAATGGCTTCATGTTGAAATGTGTTATTTTACTACTACTAACGTGCAATCTTTTCCATGACTTACTTTTACCGGTCAGATGGCAAGAATTGGTCTCACGTCGTCGTCTTGGTTGTTGTTGTTGTTGTTGTGGACGCTGCTGTGTGTGTTACTGCCGAGGCCAGTTGATCCAGGTTCAAACTGCATCCAGCTCTGATCTCAGGCCCGCCCCCAGGCCCGCCCCCAGGCCCGCCCCCAGACCCGCCCCCAGGCCCGCCCCCAGGCCCGCCCCCAGGCCCGCCCCCGTTGGCTGATTACCGTCATTCGAACGCAGGGGGCGGAGACCCAAGTGTTGAGATGGGCGGAGACTCGTGTCTGATTGGCCAGGGTGCGTTCGGATACCGGCCTGATTTGCTCCCTAAATCCCAAAGAGTCAACTCAGACTACTGCATGCAGTGCGGCAGATTTCGCCCTTTTTTTTTTTTACGCAGTGGGTCCTCCGTAGATTTACTATTATTGTTATTCTGATGGTTTTTGCGCGAGTCTGTGATAGTTTATTACTAGTTTATTGACAACGGTACTAATCATGCCTGTCTGATCAGATCTGAACAACGTCCACTCTAGCTACTTGTCTTGTAAGTAAAGGTGGAGATGTGATGAAGCTATTCACAACAATGAAAACGATAGGAGCCTATAGAATGGAATCCTGGCTCACTTCAGCGAGAGGGGTGAGGCTGGTTTTAATGGGGTGAAGTGGTAATTTACGTTACGTCTGCTTTGGTTTTCTATTCTGAACAAAAATATAAACACAACATGTAAAGTGTTGGTCTCATGTTCCATGGGCTGAAATAAAAGATCCCAGATATTTCCATACACACAAAAAGCTTATTTATCTCAAATGTTGCGCACAAATTTGTTTACATCTCTGTTAGTGACCATTTCATCTTTGCCAAGATAATCCATCCACCTGACAGGTGTGACATACCAAGAAAGAAGCTGATTAAACAGAATGATCATTACACAGGTGCACCTTGTGCTGGGGACAATAAAAGGCCACTCTAAAACGTGCAGTTTTGTCACACAACACAATGCCACAGATGTCTCAAGTTTTGAGGGAGCGTGTAATTGGCATACTGACTGCAGGAATGTCCACCAGAGCTGTTGCCAGTGAAGTGAAAGTTCATTTCTCTACCATAAGCCACCTCCAACGTCATTTTAGAGAATTTGGCAGTACGTCTAACCGGCCTCACAACTGCAGACCACGTGTCACCACGCCAGCCCAGGACCTCCACATCCGGCTTCTTCACCTGTGGGATCGTCTGAGACCAGCCACCCGGACAGCTGATGAAACTGTGGGTTTGCACAACCGAAGAATTTCTGCACAAACTGTCAGAAACCGTCTCAGGGAAGCTCATCTGCACGCTCTTAGTCCTCACCAGGGTCTTGACCTGACTGCAGTTTGGCGTCGTAACCGACTTCAGTGGGCAAATGCTCACCTTCGATGGCCACTGGTATGCTCGAGAAGTGTGCTCTTCAAAGATGAATCCCAGTTTCATGCTTGACCTTTGGTATGATGTTCTTACTGTGGAATGCAGAGTTTGGTTTTTGCCAGGCATTACTGGAACCATGTTGTCCAAAAAGTTGTACTTTTGAATCATCTGTCCATAGAACGTTCTTCCAAGAGTCTTGATGATCATCCAGGTGCTTTTTGGCAAACTTGAGTCAACATTTTGGACAAGATGGGTCCAATTATGCCTGGCGAAAACCAAACAATGCATTCCACAGTAAGAACATCATACCAAAGGTCAAGCATGGTGGTGGTGGTGTGATGGTTTGGGGATGCTTTGCTGCCTCAGGACCTGGACGACTTGCCTTAATAGAAGGAACCATGAATTCTGCTCCGTATCAGAGAATTCTACAGGAGAATGTCAGACCATCCGTCTGTGAGCTGAAGCGCAGCTGGGTCATGCAGCAAGACAATGATCCAAAACACACAATCAAGTCTACATGAAAATTGCTAAAAAGCAACAAATTGGAAGTTTTGGAATGGCCTAGTCAAAGTCCAGACCTAATCCCAATTGAGATGTTGTGGCAGGACTTGAAACGAGCAGTTCATGCTTGAAAACCCACATGTCACTGAGTTAAAGCAGTTCTGCATGGAAGAGTGGGCCAAAATTCCTCCACAGCGACGGGAGAGACTGATCAACAACTACAGGAAGCATTTGGTTGGAGTCATTGCAGCTAAAGGTGGCACAACCAGTTATTGAGTGTAAGGGGGCAATTACTTTTTCACACAGGGGAATTGGGTGTTGCATAACTTTGTTTATGAAATAAATGAAATAAATATGTAGTTGTTGTGTTATTTGTTCACTTATGTTCCCTTTATCTAATATTAGGTTTTGGTTGAAAACTGATAACATTCAGTATCACAAATATGCAAAAGTAGAGAAAATTAGAAAGGGGGCAAATACTTTTTCATAGCACTGTATATGTGAGGGACAACATGTATATGATATCTATATGGTATGGAGACGGGTTGGGCAACTGTATATGATTCATAGGGTATGGAGAAGGTTGGGGACAACTGTAATGATACTATTGGTTGGAACGGTGGGCAACTTTAATGATATCATAGGGTATGGAGAAGGTTTGGGGACACATGAAATTGAATCTAATGGTAGGGAGACGGTTGGGACAACGTATAATATCTATAGGGTATGGAACAGTGGGGGGAAACATGTATATGTACTATTGGTATGGGCCCCGGTTGGTGGGGACAACATTATAGATATCTATATGGATGGAGCAGGTTGGGAAAAACATTTAATGAATCTATATGGTATGGAGCAGGTTGGAAAACAGTATATGATATCATATGTAGGAGACGGGGTTGGGTGGGGGACAACTTATATGATTTATAGGGTATGAACAGGTTGGTGAGGGACAACATTATATGATTCTTAGGGTAGGGAGACGGTTGGGGGGGGACAACTGTATATGATATCTTATGGTTGGAAAAGGGTTGGTGGGGGAAAAACAGTTAGATATCAAAGGTATGGGACAGTTGGGAAAAAATGTATATGATATCTATATGGTATGGAGACGGTTGGGACAACATGATATAAATTCTATATGGTATGGGACGGGTTGGGGTGAGGGCAAATGTATATAAATTTATAGGGATTAGACGGTTGGTGAGGGACAACATGATATAAATTCTATAGGGTAGGGACGGGTTTGGTGAGGGACAACATGTATATGAACTATATGGTATGTAGACGTTGGGACAACATGTATATGATATTATATGGTATGTAACATTTTGGTGAGGACAACATGTAATGTTTCTTAGGGTAGGGAGACATTTTGGGGGGAAAACCATTTTAATGAATCTATTAGGAAAATGTAGACAGGTCGGGAGGGACAAATGTATATAAATTCTATATGGTTTTAACAGGTGGGTAGGGAAACAACATGATATAATCTATATGGTATGGAAAAGGGTTTTGGGGGGGGGACAACATGAAATTGATTCTTTTTGGTTTGGACATTTTGGGACAACATGTAATGTATTATATGGTATGGAGACAGGTCGGTGGGGGGACAAAGTTTGATATCTATAGGTATGGAGACATTTTGGTGAGGGACAACTTATATATATCTAATGGTAGGAGACGGTTGGTGAGGGAAACATGAAATTATATTATATGGTATGTGAAGGTTGGGAAAAACTTATATGATTCTATATGGTTTAACGGTGGTGAGGGAAAACATGTTATGATCTATTGGTATTAACCGGTGGGTGAGGGAAACATGTAATGATATCTATAGGGTATGTAGAAGGTCTTTGAGGGGACCATTTTAATGATATCTATAGGGAAAGGGGAGACGGTTTGGGGAGGGACAACTGTTATGAATCTTATGGTATGTAGACATTTGGGAAAAATGTATATGATATCTTATGGATGGAGACAGGCGGTGAGGCAAATTTAATAAATTCAAGGTATGAACATCGGTGAGGGACAACTGTATATATCTATATGGAGTGACGGTGGGGTGAGGGAAAAACATTATATGATATCTATATGGTTGTAGACGGTTGGTGGGGAAAACATGTTATGATTTTATATGGTAGGAGCGGTTTGGTGAGGGAAAAAATGTATTGATATCTATATGGTTGTAACGGGTCGGTGAGGGAAAAACATTTTTATGATATCTATATGGTATGTGAAGGTCGGGGGGGGACAACAGTTATAATCTATAGGGATGGGGGACGGGTTGGGGGGGACAACTGTTGAACTTATGGAGAACGGGTTGGGGAAAACATGTAATGAATCTATATGGTATGGGACAGGTCGGTGAGGGAAAACAGTTATGATTATCTATATGGTAGGGGACAGGTTGGTGGGGAAAAACATGTATTGATTCTTAGGGGAGGGAGCATTTGGGTGAGGGACAACATGATATAATC